AGGTAAAAGTGTGGCGTGTACTTGTGACGTTGGTATAGTAACATGGGTGAGTAGCATCGTAGCAGCAAGAGAGCGGGTGAATAGTTGTGACTGTAAGTGTACGGATCGCCGGTGGATGAGATACTACCCGCTTGCCTAAGCCTACTTGTATACGAATGCTCAGGTTCTTATTAACCAACTGACCCAACTGAAAGAACTCCAAGCTTCCGGGTCATATGATGTCATTGGTATCATCGAGACGTGATTACACGAGAATGACGGACGCTGCAGTTTCGATACCGGGCATGGCGCTGATCCGGAAGGATAGGCTCGCAATAGGCGGAGTGATAAACCTGTATTACCGAAGCGACCCAAAGTGCGAAGCCGTGGCGGAATCAGACTCGCAGTTCCCCGACTGGTGCAGTTTGCAGTTAAAAGGCAGGGACGCTTGACTTATTGGCTTGGTGTACCGCCCCACTAAATTTACACCAGAAACCGACTGCCACCTAGCGGCTGCTTTATGATGCAGTTTACAACAAAGGAACACTCACACAATTATCATGGGTGATTGCAATGAACATTGTGTGGAAAGTCCTGCCATGATCGGAAAACAATGCAAAGCCAATCTACAAGATCTCGTAACCATCGTTCCTCCTTACAATCACATCACTTTGCCCCTCGGTTCAGTACAGGTAACAGGCCATCCGTGCTAGATCTTGTGCTTACCAAAGAGGAGCATATGATTGGTGTGTTGGTTTTAGACTACGCGTTGGGTCGCATTGATCACGCAGTCATCAGTTTGAACTTCGTCTGCTATGCAGAATATCGGAATGAGAACGATGTGCCTGTGAAAACCATCATAAGCTACGATAGATAAACCCAGGTAGTGCGCGCCACAACTTGGTTGTTCGTTGAGGAAGCACCCCCGAAAGTCGCCTGGTTCGAGTTCGTCAACAAATTCAGTCCGCTGATTGCAGACTTCAGAAATAAAACATTGCAATAAGTGTACATCAACTTCTTCCGTTAGGAGCAGAACTCGAAAATGAATGACAATACGCAAAGCAGCATGGCGAGTGTACAGAGAAGCGCCAGCACCAGAAACTTGGAACAACAACGTAACCCAAACTAACCACTGCACACAACTGCTAAGAGAAGATAAAGCCGCCTATCAGCACAACATCGCAAAAACCATCAGTGTTATCCACAAACTGCTGTAAAAGCACCTCAACGGCGTACGAAATGTGAGACAAGGATTGCCTCCACTCAGGACGGCTGATGGCTCAACAAGAACGGCTGTGGAAGCAGCAAACGCGCCGCGGATGCATTATTCCAGAACGTTTCAGAGAGTCATGCCACCAAGCCATCTTCCGACATTTGTCGTCTCGTCGCCAGGACTAACTCACATCACTTTTACCGCGGAGGCTGTATTGCAAAAGCTGACGTCTCTACACAAACACAGCTCGCCGGGTCTCGAGACCATTCGTCCAGAGGCACTGGAAGCAGCAGCAAACCAACTGGCAGGATCATTAGCTCAGTTTTCCAGCGCTGCTTAGACCAGAACTAAGTTCCCACCATGTGGAAGCTTGGAATAATAACCCCGATTCACAAAGGTGAAGGTAGAACTGATCCCCAACTACCGCCCAATATCCCTTCTTCCCGTACCCTGCAGTGTCATGAAATCCATAGTAGCTGATGCACTGGTGTGCTATCTGGAAAACTGTAATATCATCACGCCAGAGCAGCTCGGTTTCCGTCGAAAATAGTCATGTACAACGAATTTACTAATCGTACGCAGTAGTTGGACTGCGTCAGCTGACGCTGGAGAAGTAGTTAATGTGGTCTACCTGGATTTTTCCAATGCTTTCGATCGTCTAGACTCTCGGACACTACTCTTCAAGCTCCAGCGATACGGGATCGGCGATCCCCTTTTAAGCTGGATTGCCAACTTTCTACTTCAACGGCAATTAGTGGTCAGATTTCGGAACTCTTTATCGGACCCCATACAAGTGGAGTGTGGTGTGCCGCAAGACTCAGTTCTAGCTCCACGTTTGTTTTTGGTGTTTCTTAATGACCTTGCACAGGGAATCGCTTCAAACTTCGTAATGTTTGCCGACGATGTTTAGCTTCGGCTTAGGATCCAGGCGAACGCCGACGTGCATCTGCTTCAAAGTGACCTACATATGGTGCATCAATGGTCAACCCAAAACTTATTGCATTTCCATCCCACCTCAGAGTAGCTACTCATACCGGCTCGGAACGAGTGTGCTTCAACGATCAATTCTCGAACTTGACTTGGGTGTCCTGGTTCAAGAGGACTTTGGTTGCTCCAGGCAATCCGAAAAGGCCTCGAAGACTGGGAACCAACACATCGGTCTGTTGCGACGGGCGTTTGGAGAAAAAACTGCTCCATATTTCGATAAATGCTCAGCGCGTATGTTCGCCCCCATGTCGAATACGCAATTCAAGCCTGGCATCCATGGCTGAAAAGCGACCTTAATGCACTGGAACAGCCACAACGTCTGTCGTCTAAGAACGTAATTGGAATGTGCAATCTTTCATACTAGGTGAAGTTACAACTATTGGGGATATTCAGCGGGAGCTATCGCAGACTACGTGATGACCTGATTATGACATACTTGATTCTGCGAGACCCATCTCGTGTGTGCCACCCTTTACTGCGCCTCAGCAGCAATATAACTCTGATGGGCAACTCATTAAAACTAGCTGTACAATATAGCCCTCTGGAATGCCGCAGGAATTTCTTCTTCATTCGTGTCTGTCACCCGTTAGATGCTCACTCAGAAGCGGTCATCTCTGCACCGACACTAACATTATATAACAGACGGTTGGATGATGCAATAATGCACTTACACCTTGTCACTTAGTACTACGTCTCCATCCTACATCTGGAGTTTACCATGGAATTATTTGATGTTAACTGTGTGGTCTGTGAATCTAAGCGGATTGCAGAACTACGGCGGAGCGAATGATACGTCCTTATTTTCATAGTTAAAGCACCAACTGTTTTACTATCATTATTATTTGGTTATATCTGTATCCCCACCAACTATCCAACGGGACTTGTAATGCAACGCTTCCTAATCCGTATAAACTCATCGTTCATTGTTCATGTGTCATGCGCACTTCACGCATATCATGCTGACATACGATGACATTGTCGAGCATGTGAACGTGCCCACTCTGAATGTGCGTCCAAGTTGCCATATCACTCGCATTCAGTGCAAACCGAGTGTTCGTGATCCGCAGGCCGTGAGTGGCACACATTGAGAGCAGCCTGTCACCGTTCGCATTCGCAGAACCAATGCCATGCGTACCGATGACATCTGTCCACGCCGATGCATCACGCCCAACGCGTGCGTTGAAATCACCCTGCAGAAATGGTCAGTCTCTCCCCGGCACAGACCGTATCACGGAGGGTAGCTGAGTATAGAATTGATCACGCGTGTCATCAAGATAACACATGGTCGGACCTTACGTGTGTATGAAAGTGGTAAACTTACCTCTTCTGAGTCGTAGGCGAACAGTCGCGCGCTGAAACCAGTTGGTTCACTTACCTGCTGGCCATAGAGGCGATCGGATATTGCAAATCCGACCCCATGTTCACGTGGTGCTGTGGTGGCGTCGCCCACCCAATAGAACGTGTAGGCAGCACCTGCTTCATGCAAATTACCTTGCTCAGCGAGCCGGGGCTCACTGAGCTCTGCAACATCGATGTTGTACTGCGCCAATTCCATCGCGACGAGTGCAGTGCGTCGCTCCGGGCGCTCGCTGGAGTTCCGGTCTTGTAGTGTGCGTACGTTCCAGCACCCGATGCTGAGTACTTTCCGCGCAGGCATACGATTGCATTGGTGGGCAATTACACGGGAGGTGGCGGTTGTGCTTCGGAGGTTTGCTTGAGGGACTCCATCCGGAGCCTTTGGCTCAATAGCCTGACTCAGTAGACAGTGAGGAGCAGATCTAGCTCGGGAATGTGATTGCAGAGACAGATTGGAATCTGCCTGACGGTCATCACACGCAGTCTTTGCGGTAATGGAACGGTTCATACATGTGTTATGACCGTAGTGGGATACGCACCTGCGACCACGGCCAGACGCAGGTGAGTTTTGGTGGGTGTGCACCAATTTAACCAGGGGTTGCGTGGTTTAAGGCGGGCAGTAGCAAACCACTGAACACCGGGAGGTGTCCTCCCACCGTCAGAGACAATGTGTGGCGCTCTTGCTCTACGCCAATCGAACTGCGAGCATATAACCCGGAGACCTGTTGTCTCCCAGGGCTAGGTTTTACGGGAAGCGGACCATGGACCACTTGTTAACCTCCGCAGCGGAAGGGGTTTGGACTAGGATACTAGCAGCGGCGTCCATACCTGACAGGAGAACGACTCGGCTCCCCAGCCAAAAACTTCGATTAAATATGCACCCGAAAGACAGCGGGTCTAGCACATGGTCAGTTCACTGAATCAATTAAAAATAATTGAATCGCCAGCCGTACGCAGCATTGACGCTTCGCTGCCATGCGACCACCACCAGTCACGCGTGGGCTGAGTATACCGCGAGGACGCCCGCGCCTACGTGGATTCGAACCGGTGACCTTATGGTTGCAAACCAGAGGTTCATCCCACTCGGCCACCGGCTGACTCATGCAGCTTGGTATCCTGGATCTTAGCAAGGAGAAGGGCGTAACCCAACTCCCACCCAGCGGTCGCCATGAGGAGGTGTCCAGGACATAAGCCCGTAGCATAACAATAGCAGCAGTGGGTAGATCAGTTGTCAGAATATAGCCATCACCAGCCTCAGCGCACCATAATCTTTCCTGCAATATATATATATATATATTTATATGAATCGTCTTCACTAAATTCATCAAGTTCTCCGCGTATTCGCAATTTCAATCTTTCTTAGATGGCTATCTTGCTCGTATGCAAACTCGAAGCATGAGCAGTCCTATTTTGCCCACTCTGTCTCAATACTTCCCATTTTTGCTACTTTTCTGTGCTCAGGAAGGAATGAATTGATTGCTCGGTACATCAAGCTACGAACAGGAAAGACCAGAACCCGTAAACAAGTCTCCAGTCACATACAAGTGCTTGCACGTCGCAGAACCAAAGAATCCAACGACGATGAATATGATTCAGACGAAATGGACTCACTGGGGGAGGTTGCACGGAATAGAGCACTATGTTCATTTGCACAATCCTCTGGGGAAAGACGTGTGTCACGTTTCCCAAATCATGCCCACGGTGAGAAAACGCTGCATGTGCTACTTGACCCGTTGAATTCGCATCCCTTGAGGCCCACCTTTTTATTCATGTAGGACAATTTCTTACAAAGCTGCTGTGTTAGACTGCTTACTGTAGCTGGGCTACTGGCTTTGGATTTTGAAAAATTACTTCTTTCTGTTGCGCATGTTCTGTGACCTCGGGTAAAATCCCTTTAATAAATTTAGTTTCCTTGTACACGAAGCGTTACTAAGCGGGAGTTCAATGAAGCTCTGATACACTTATGTCTGCTCATGGCCGATCTGCACCGTTTCACCAGATAACATTGCATTTAGGCGAGTAGAACCTTTACGCGCAAACGCAGCTCACTGAAATTTCTAGACACGGAAACCAGAGCTACATATTTGATTGCGCCTTTCTAGTACAACTAATTAAAAATAATGTGTCAGCTTTACACCGTAACCGCGTTTGGCTGCCACGCGACAACCACCAGTCACGCGCGAGCTGAGTATACCGCGAGGACGCAAACCTCTACGCAGATTCGAACAGGTGAGCCATATGATTGCAAGCCAGGCGTGCAGACCACTCGGTCACCGGCAGACGTGCCCTTCTAAACATGTTCCCGATTGAGTGAATCCATAGTGCAAGTGAATTTCTCCATAAAGCTCTGATTTGCACCCGAAAGCCAACTGATCATCATGTTTAACGCGTCTGAATTACATCCAGTATCATTTCGACGCACCAAGCGCGCGCAGTGACCTTGGAATTAAGCTAGTCCAATACAGCCAATGACGGTAGATGTAATAACCCTTGCATGAATGTATGAGTTGGTGGCGTGTGCTGGGGACGCGTGGGTGTTCTAGCCTCAACCCAGCGACGGTGTCTAATCTGCAGCTAGTTCCACGCAGCTTAGGGACACACGGTTGTCCAAACACGTGGTGCGACTGGGTGGAGGGTTCGGTGAGCGTAAGTGGAACACCATGTACGTAAAGCATGCCTTGCGAACAGCACAAGTAGGGAGTGGAGCGGCGACCAAATTAATGTGACACCCCATTAGCGATCCTATGGCTAGTTTGGCACTGGCGCAGCCCAAGCTTTTGGACGACCGACCAACGCTCGGGCATACGACGGTACTGTGTCCGGATAGTGAGGCCGTCACAGGTGCATGGCTGCGAATGACAGGGCTGGTGTGATGGGCTTGCGAGTAAAGCGACCAAAGAGGCCTGCGCAACCGAAATACAGGTTGGAAGAGAGGCGTTTTGCGTTATAGGAAGCCGTCTTGAGCGGCGGCTTGTTGAGAGGGCTTGTTCCGAAATACGACTGGCAATTTTGTTACAAGGCAAGTAACCGCAGCTTTGTTACAGCTAGCGTCGCTTATGCTCATGGTGGATGCAGTACACCGACGAGTTGGTCCCTAAATCAAATGAGATACTGCGATCTGGCTGTCCGCAGTTTGCATCGACTGATCTTTACATACATGCATGGGCGGGCTGGTGCGGACCGAACGTAAGGGCAACTGACACGCAAGTCGGTGCGCATCAACTGAATTCGTATCCCGTACCCAGTTTAGTGGTATGTTCACACATGGGAGTCACTCCATCGTTGTTCGGCATCTTTGTCTGGCCATTTCACCGCCTCTTCTCCAGCAAAGGTACTTAGCCGACACAGCATATAAGCGAGCAACACCACAGTTCCTTCTCGCGACAGTTGTACCTGCAAACTGCACACTTCCACGAGGTCGATAACACTCAATTTCCTACCTAACGGCCTGTGAACACGTAGTCCACAATCGCAGATGGCAGTACAAAGGTATATAACGGGTCAAGTAGATAACGCTTGACATGTCCCGTAGGATGGCCGTAATGAAGAGAAAGATTAAATAATGAACGTACCAATAAAATGGAGTGTGACATGGTGATTTAGCAGAGATATTTACATGGTAACTGGTATACGTCCAGTTAGTTGCATCTAATCGCTCGCCATAATTTGTATCTTCTGCATAAAGCGAAAAATTCGAGAACATAATTTTAAACAAGAAATCCTTTTTATAATCCCAAATAAGAACGTCAGAAGACCAAGGCCGTGGGATGAGACTGTTAGGACGACCTACCATTGCCCGGGCAAGTTCGGTGTGTCCGGATATCAAGACAGTCGCAGGTGCATGAGTTGCGAATGCTCGGGAGCTGAGGTGACAAAATTTTATGGCGTGCTTGTGAACAAAGTGATCTAATTGGCCTGCGCAACGTGCCATTGAACTCTTGGTTGAGAGTGAACTCTTGATTAAAAGAGATGTTTTGAGGGGCGCTCCACTGTGAGCATTATTACCGAATACAACAGCCACAGTTTTGTTTCAAGCTGAGTTGGCACTGCATTTTTACCGCAGAAGTAACCTACTGTTAGGTTATTACGGAGCTAATTTAAGTAGAATGTGATAAGGCCATAGAATATCTCCCTGAAAAGCACCCTAGTTTGTGGTTAGTATTTAGGAGCATTTGCCACGGACTCGTGTCATCTGGATGCGTCCAGTAAGGTGATCACTTAGCAAACGTATTATGGAGAGATTTAATCTTTGAATGTGTTGATCTTTCGACAGCATTTCACGGTTTACACAACAGAATGAGCTGTGTCTTCAAGCAAACACTTACGAGTTGATCAGTTTTTTGTCTAGTAATGACGGTATGGAAAGTACGAGATGGGACCCTATATCTACGGTAGAACTCAAATTACAATAAGTGTTTTTAAGGGGTCTTCGAGTGTGTTTGGGACAGCATCAGTTCAAGGATTATTTTCGCTTAAAGCTTCTGGGCAACGGAATAGCAAGCGACAGCTCGACATCTGCTGGACCCTTTTCTTGGTACCGGTCCGATGATGCCGTTCCCAAGATTAGACTAAGTATACACTTGATGGGGACGTGTAGCTCTTCCTTGGTTCGAACCGTGAGAGAACTCAGTGAGATGTCACCTTTTTCTTTAAACGCACTCTTCTTAATTTGACCCAGCCTCTTCAGATGGAGGAGGAAACCCTGTCTGTTCGGACGTTGCGAGATTTTCAAGGACAGTAGATGTTAAAACAACAATTTAGATGGGTAGTCAAGTTGTCACAATACTTGGATATGTCAGCGTTAAAGGATACACAAAAGTATATGGATGAAAAAAAATTATTTTTTTATTTTTTTTTAGCTCCAAAATGGCCCCCGCAGAAGCAACCCTATTAAAATACTCTGACAACATCGTCCTGGGTAGCAACCATCGAAACGCCGACTGCTCTATAAGATACCAAAATCATCTGAACGACCTCATTATTTGGTCCAAAGCTCGTTATCTGTCTCTTAATGCATCGGGGTATCATAAAATGTTTTTTCCGCTACACATAAGAGCCAGTCACGAGCAGCTCCCTACAAAGGTCCCCAAGCAGCTTAGTGACAGTGATGGATTTCACTAATATATCAGTGAAGTACCTAGGTATGGTAATGGTAGTTCTGCCAGATGACTGACTAACAAACATTGAGTACTTGGACGACATGACCCCATTTGGTCTGACCCAGAAGCTATGTAAGAAAACGGAATCGACTAGCGTTTAACTCTGTACGCTTCGGCATGTGGTTTTCACGTTCGAAATGCAAAGTGTTGTGACAGCATTGGTCTGATCGGCCACCTGCGCTGGCTGTCCTTTTAAAAGGGGAACTTCAGAAGCCAAGTGTATGATACTAAACAAAGAAATAATAAGGTTGACTTACTAGAAGGGGCAAACGGTCCGTCCGAGACTGGTGCATTTGTATGACTCACTCTCCACAGATAGGAGGATACGGGGCATGAAATCGACTTGCGTAATGTCGAGATCTTTAGAAAGGTTTTGCGATCCGCACTTCAAAGGCTGACTGCTGAGGCGTCATAAATTGCCAAAGCCAACAACTGCGTAGGCAGTGGTTGGAGTGGAGTTATCGAGTACGTCGCGAGCTGTCTTAACTGGCCAGTCTAAGGGGCGTTGGCAGACTAACCAGGTGCCGAACACTCGGAGACAAAATCTACACCTTATCAGCGCAATGAATGAAGGTGGATCGCTCAGATATTCTGTCCTAAGAGGCAGTTATAATAAAGAAAAATGTGCGCGGTGTTTTCGGCTACTGCCTGATACTAATGGCATCCATTTTGCCACACATTTTTCCTAGGGACGTCGGGTACACCTTCGTTCCTACTACTCGCGTTTGCCTTTGAGTGCCATGCTATGAACTTCTCTGGATATTTATTTGCATGTAATGCCGAGGAAACTCGTTGCAGCTACAGAACTCCCGCCCCCCTAGAGTTTGGGTCAAGAAAATATGCGCTCGACATGTGCCACCTGATGTGAGTAGCTAGATTAGAAGGAGAAAAAACTGCACGTCCAAAACATGAGCACTTTTGTGTGTCTGAGTTTGTGATAAGTGCTGGTTGGAAGGAGATGGAGCAATGGACGGTGCACATCTCTCGATGAAAGCCATGCATGCCAGCAAGGGCTAGAACAAAATCCATGACTTCGCACACGATTGGGTGCCCTCAAGTGCACTCACACTCATGCCAGCAGTTTCACTATCCAACATAACTAACCGATTGGCTAACCGGGCAAGCGTTACGGACGCTGTTCTTTCCTGTATGAGCTCAAGTGTGTACTGGTCATGGCCCAAATGTGCGGAAAGTTGGTAACATTCCGGACCAACTGTAGCAATAAGGTAGCTACTGGGGTGTCGCATTGTCTCGTTCGCAGCCCCTACTCCCAACTTGTGCCGTTCACAAGACATGCTTTACATACTTGGTAGTCCACTTACGCACACTGAACCCTCCACCCAGTCGCACCACGTGTTTAGACAACCGTGTGTACCTAAGCTGCGTGGAACTAGCTGCAGATTAGACACCGTCGCTGGGTTGAGGCTAGAACACCCACGCGTCCCCAGCACACACCACCAACTCATACATTCATGCAAGGGTTATTACATCTACCGTCATTGGCTACTTTGGACTAGCTCAATTCCAAGGTCACTGCGCGCGCTTGGTGCGTCGAAATGATACTGGATGCAGTTTAAATGCGTTAGACATGATACTCAATTGGCTTGCGGATGCAAATCAGAGCTTTATGGAGCAATTCAATTGTACTATGGATGTAATCACTCGACAACTGGTGTAGACATGTTCTCAAAGAGCACTCAGATCGCCACACCTCAGTGGCCGGTGTGGACCAACAATGTACCCTGTCCAAACAATACC